GGAATAATCTCAATAAAACTTTAAAAGGTTCTAAAACAATTTATACATTTAAAAAAATATATAAGACAAAAATTATAGAGACATATAGAGAAATACAATAAATCATATTTTACCTCATGGAATTTACAGATTAATTGTCATTCTCAATTATATTTATATGTTTAAGTGTATTTATAAACCAGTAGGTACAAATATTAACATGTACATGTTCTGTGTGTGTGTGTGTGTGTGTGTGTGTGTGTGTGTGTGTGTGCGTGCGTGCGTGTGTGTTTGTGTATGAACATCGACATATATTGGTTTGTGTTCTATATTGTGTATGTGTATACCAAAAGATTTAAGGAAATATTCTTTCCTATACTCAGAAGAGTTTTGTGTTGTTTTCTGTAAATAGTTCTGTCATCTTGTATCCTGTTCTATATGTTAATAGGATTTTGGCAAAACAAGTGTTAAAGTTCCGCCTTAAACCCCTTCAGTCTGTAGAATAACTTTAGTGATATGCATAACATTGATTTTTTGTGTGTGTGTGTTAAATCATTGTAATATGATGTATGATTATGTTAATTGACCAAAGAAAATAAAGTGACTAACAAACTAAGTAAAAAAATCTACTTAAAGCTGCATTGTGTAACTTTTCTGGTGGAGGGTCCGTCAAACGCTTTTCTCCAAGTAAATGTCATGGCTTCACCTGGAATATTTCACAGTATGGCATTAAACCTTTCTATCTTCATGGAGATCAAACCAGACCAACTTACTTACAGGTCAGATCTGTGGAGAGGCGACCCCGCTCACACAGCCAGAATGCTTGTTTTTTTTTAGGTATTTTTGAGCTATAAAACCAGCTGTAATTGAATAAATGTCAAGTAGAACTGTTTAATGTCACAGTGTGGAACATTCCAGGCAATGACATCACAACATTCTATATGCTAATAATATTTATTACTGTTCAAAAAAGTAGTGGAGAGTACAGATACCTGCTCTCAAATGTAGTGACGTAAAAGTAAAAGTATTCATTTTAAAATGTACTTAAGTAAAGTAGAGACACCTAAAATGTTTACTTTACTTTACTATGTTTACTTTTTTTTTTTTTACATTCCACCATTTCACAGAGGTGGTAGTAGCGTTATGTTATTTCAAATATAAAATCATTGCCCAAGTAAGAGAAAAAAGTATTTACTACTGAAGTAAGAGTAACTTAAAGATGCACTATGTAACTTTTTGGTTGGAAGTCCATCGTTTCTATAGAGATGTCAGTGCTCTGTCTGGAATGTTCCACAGTGTGACATTAAATAGCCCTACTTTGCATTTATTCCATTACAGGTGGTTTTAAAGCTCAAAGACACCTAGAAAAACTCTCACTGTGAATAGGGTCGCCTCTCCACAGATCTGACCTGTAATTTAGTCTGGTTTGGTCTCCATGAAGAAAGAAAGGTGAATCTTTCAGACAAAGCAGTAACGTCTCCATGGAGAAAAGCATCTGACAGGCCCACCACCAGAAAAGTTACACAGAATGCACCTTTAGTATTCATTGTCCCTTTGTTTGTTTTATAGATTTTCAGAAAGCCTTTGATTGTGTAAATCAGGACCTGCTCTTCTTTCAGCTGTTACAAACTGGTACTGACGGTAGATTTTATGAGTCAATCAAAGCTATCTATAACAATCCCATATCTTGTGTCCAAGTTAATGAGCACTTGACTGACTGGTTCCCAACACCATACGGTGTAAAGCAGGTGATGTGCTATCTCCCACATTATTTGCTATTTTCATCAATAATTTGGTAAATGAAGTAAAAGAAGCAAATTATCTAAAAGTGTGTATATTGCTTTATGCTGATGATATAGTGCTTATTTCAGAAAATGAACTGGATCTTCAGAGGATGTTGAATATTGTTCATACCTGGTGCAACCAAATGAGACTGAAGATAAATTGTGAGAAAACTCGGGTGATTCATTTTAGAAAACAGAGCCGTAAATTGACGAACTTTCAATTCCATTTTGGAGCCACTTCCTTGTCCTTAACAAAAAAGTACAATTATCTGGGACTTGTTTTGGATGAACATCTTACATTTGATGAAGGAATCAAAGCTCTGTCAGAGTCAGCAGGTCAAGCCTTAGGTTCACTGATAAACAAAGTTAAAGCATGTCGTGACCTGGGCTACAAAACCTACACTGAACTGTCCAGGGCCTGTCTGTCCTGTTCTGGACTATGGCGCTGGAGTCTGGGGTTACTGTAAACACACCCACAGTGAAAAAGTTCAGTGAGGTACTTTTTAGGCATGCACAATAAGGCGCCTAAACTTGCTCTGTATGGAGATATGGGCTGGAACCATGTGAAGTGAGACACATTTGTGATATGGTGCGGTTCTGGAACAGGTTGGTTAATATGCCAGACACAAGATTAACCAAACATGTATTTAACTGGAGTCTGTTACATAAATCGTCCTGGAGTAGAGAGATGGAGAAAATTTTTGAGATTGCAGATCTCCAGTTTATTTACATAAATAAGTTCATCTGTAGTGTTAGACAAGCGAGGAACATTTACTTTGATAAGCATAAACAAAAGTGGCACAATGAAATCTTATGTAAACCAAAATTAAGAACATATATCTTAATTAAAGACTGTTTTGGACCTGAACCATATGTCACCCTGAACCTGAGCAGAGGTCAGAGGTCAGTATGTGCCCAGTTGAGGTGTGGGACTCTGCCTCTGGCCTTGGAGACGGGATGATTCCACTCAGTCCCAGAGGAGGAGCACTTGTGTCTGTGCGACTTAAAGGACATTGAAAATCAAATGCATTTTCTGTTTTACTGTCCTTTGTATCATGACCTTCGCTGTCAGTTGTGTCTAATGTGTCTTACTGTTGGTTTGTTATGTCTGATGAGGAGAGACTGAAGTATTTGTTTAAAAGTAATGTTTTTAAGTTGGCTCAGTTTGTGCTGAAAGCCTGGGACCTCCATAAAAGGACACTTTATGTTTAATGTGTGATCTGTCTGCTTATTGTTTTATGTGCCTTATAAACCCATGCAGGCTGAGCACCAACTTAAATGACACTAAATAAGTAAACTAAACTAAACTGTAAATTAATACAAATATAACAAAAGTATAATGAATATAATAAATTAGATTTTTATTGTTTTGTCTGAGTCTGAGTGCAGGAGTCAGAAGAGGAGGTAGCTCTTGATCACTGGAGAGATCTGGAGTTCAGGTAAAACACGGAGAGCTCGAGGACCAAGCAGAGACCTGACTCTGATCCTGCAGATCTGCTGCAGACTCAGGGGGGTGTCTACAGTGAAGAAAGAAATGTACACAAGTAATCAAAATACAATATACCTACACACTGTCCTAAAATGCATAAACAATTGGTGGTTTTCAGGTTCTAGTAGGAATGAAACAACAACAGAAATTCATTGTTCTGGTGCAGCTATAGCTAAAAAACTGAGAGAACTACATAGACCATGATCCTTTGCTCCAATTCAGTGCAGACTACACGAAGAAATAACTGTTATTAAGAATTTTTAAATCTTATAGGCTGTATTCACACTTCTGAGGAAGGCGTTTGGAAAGATGCGATTACAACTTCCCAGGCCCAGTTTTCTTCATCTCCATGTCATTGTAGTGTTCTGATATGTTCGGAGAATCAACAATTCCAACCATTCCTCAGTTTTCATCATTTCCCCACTGACAAACAACTCCGAGTGCAGTGGGAACATGTGATTAAAAGAGATGAGGCGCCAAATTCCAGATGATTCCAAACAGCACATATGTCTGCAGTCTTCATTTTTACCTCTGATCACATTTACTTCAGTGGGTTTAATCACAGTCGGTCGGTGAGTCCAGTATCAGGAACTACACCAGAGGTTGTCATCGCATTTTTCCAAACGTCTTCCTGGTTTGTGATGTCAGCCTGAATAGAGACTATTATTTGTATCATAACAGTACCAAAGGTTTTTCAAGGCATTTTAAAAGGGAAAAAAAGTAGCGTATTGACAGTTTTGTTAGCCTTGACAAAATATTACAATAAATATCATACTGTGAGATGCATATGGTGAAAATATCGTATCGAGACGTTTGGATATTGTTACATCCCTAGATTTAAAAATGGGGAGCAAAAGAAAAAAAATCATATCTGTCAACTGAACAAAGTTTGAAGAAGAGTGAAGACATTTGGACCGTCTTCCTTATTGAGTGACATTATATTCTTACAGCTGTGTTTCAGACATAGACTGTGAAGTGGACTGAATGTGACGTTTATTGCAGCTCAAATGAAGCTCGTGACGCAAACGTTTACAGGAGCGAATTTGGAGCCAGGATCTGTATTATGAAGAGGATTTTTTTGAAGGACAAAAACACAGGATCATGTAGAGCGAGTTAATACGAACATTTTAAGACCGAAACGACGAGGCTCACAGCAGGACGAGCCACATGTGAACTTCCTATTTGGGACGCGCCGGCTAGAGCGTTAACTATGTCCATGTTCATATATACAGTCTATGATTCTATAGGCAAATAATATTTAATACAGATTTTTGTTGTAATATGGTGAGTTCCAGGTTCAATACACAAGACTTTTGGATATTTCATGGCAAAATGCAAATCTAGCTCCTGTCCCCATCTGGAAACATTGTCATCATCACATAAAATCTGAAAACCACCTATAAGGAATTTCCACTAAAAGGTGAATTTACAAATGTTGAACCTGATCATTTCTGTTACTGATCAGACCAGACTCTATATTACAACACCAATCTGCATTTAAACTATATTCATTTTAGCTGTTTCCATCTGTATTAAATATATTGTTTCTTGTTCTATATAATGTTATGATCTGAAACACAGAAATGCAGTGTTCTAAAAGGACACACAACTCCATGATTTCCCGATTGTAAGGCACAAAAAATACTTGAATGTCAATAATAATAATACAGAATTATAAAAAATAAATATTGTGAAAATGTTGTAATACAGTGAGGTCTTAGTTTTAGTCAGTGATGGAAATGATCACATTCAACATTTGTGAATTTACATTTTGGAGATTTCATGGTAAAATACACTGTAATTATTATAATAAGAGATGTGAAAATGGAAGCAGAACTAAACCTCTGTCTGTAAAGGATAATATAGTAAATTGTCGTACTCTCGTAGAATGTGAGGCAGCGGTGTGCCTCAGTCCCCGGCACCGCGTAGTCTCTGGGTCTGTTCCCGGAGTTATCGCTGTAGAAAACATCGGCTCCAAACTCGATCAGCAGCTCCACCAGCTCCACACTGCCCCCGTGGGCCGCCAGGTGTAACGCCGTCTCATGGAACTTCACCGAGTTCACGCGCGCTCCTGGTGAAGATACAGATATTTATTTACTGTAACACAAAGCAACATCACAATTAAGTTCAAAATTAAAGTTACATTTTGGATCAACAATTCTGACCCACTGTTAAAGGTGCACTATGTAACTTTTCTGGTGGAGGGTTGGGAAAACTGTATTGTTGCATCCAGACTATAAACTGTATTTTAGGGGCATTGTGTAACTTTTCTGGTGGAGGGTTTATTAAATACTTTTCTCCGTGAAGCTGTTACTGCCCTGTACTGACCGGCCTGCAGCAGCGCCTTCACACAGGGGGCGTGTCCTTTGGCGGAGGCGATGTGAAGAGGAGGACCAAAGTGAACGTCAAACGCCTCCAGGTCTGCTCCTCTGGAGATCAACAGCTCCACGATGTCCACGTGACCTACAGCAGAGAGGACACTGCAAGTTTGAAAATCTTGTAGAGTAAATCTTGGTAGCGTCATGTGGGTGGCTTAACTCGCACACAATTGGTTTGTATGTTCCTTGGTCCATTAATACAGTGATGTAACATTTAGACTCGAAACTGAATAGGCTCTGTTCAGTTGATTCAATTTATTAAATGAGCTGCGAAATGCTACAGCCAGATTAGATCCAAACGAGAGTCCTCAACCAGCAGGATCAGCTCTGGTTCAGGCCTTTAATTTCTGTTGCTTTTGCCTGATTTGAGCATAGTTATTTTTTGTAAATATGTATTATTTTTTTGCCACATTGCTATGGTAATTTTTTGGTGAAATGGAACATTTTCTGAGTCAGCCTCCTGCTTGAGACCACATTGTCCAGCTTCCCAACACTCAAGTTCCATCCATCATTTATTGCGTTGTTTCCCGAAGACTGGGTCATGACCCTCAGGTGGGTCGCAAGACATTTTTTTTTGGGTCACCTTGTCACAATCTGCATGTAAGTCTGTGATATACAGTTCTGACACTGATCTGCTGCTGCGCTCTCCTCCTGCAGCCCAGACTGGAACACACTACAAAAACACAGACAGGCCCACCTATCTCAGTAGAAATGTTCCAATGTTAAGACATGTTTTGTATAATTTCTAATCTTTTTGTAATTATTTTATTGACTATTTTGCTCCAATATTGCTGGTTCAATTGAATGTTGAAAAGAAAATGAAATGTTCTACTCTCTCTCTTCTCTCTCGCTCCTACACTCTCTCTCCTTCTCTCTGTCCTACACTCTCTCTCTTCTCTCTCTCCTGCTCTCTCTCAGTGTTTCAGTTTTTCATTGTTTAAAACTTGAGGAATACTAATTGTTCAGATCATGATCACTCAGTCAACAATAAAATATCCTCATTAATGTTCAATAATGCCCAAATCCACCTTTATTTTGTGATTTACGAATAATGTTTATTGTCTTGGGTCCCCAGAAAAAAAGTTTGGGAAACACTGATGTAGTGCACAGTGGATAGAGTCATCACGGTGTCAGGTGCAGTACCTTGTATACAGGCCTCGTGCAGGGGGGAAGCGGTCAGAGCTGTGAGGGAGGGGTTCACGTTTTGCCCCGTGTTCCAGTAAAAGTCGAACACACTCCAAACTCCCTGAGCCACAGGCGTAACAGAGAGGTGTACTGCCGTGAATCGTCCTCACGTCCACCTGGAGACAAGAGCAGACTGTCAGAGAGAGAGAGGAGAGAGAGAGAGAGAGAGCGAGAGAGAGAGAGAGAGAGAGAGAGAGAGAGCGAGAGACAGACAGAGACAGAGAGAGAGAGAGAGAGAGAGAGAGAGAGAGAGAGACAGAGAGAGAGAGAGAGAGAGAGACAGACAGAGACAGAGAGAGAGAGAGAGAGAGAGAGAGACAGACAGAGACAGAGAGAGAGAGAGAGAGAGAGAGAGAGAGACAGAGACAGAGAGAGAGAGAGAGAGAGAGAGACAGAGAGACAGAGAGAGAGAGAGAGAGAGAGAGAGAGACAGACAGAGACAGAGAGAGAGAGAGAGAGAGAGAGAGAGAGACAGACAGAGACAGAGAGAGAGAGAGAGAGAGAGACAGACAGAGACAGAGAGAGAGAGAGAGAGAGAGAGCGAGAGAGAGAGAGAGAGAGAGAGAGCGAGAGACAGACAGAGACAGAGAGAGAGAGTGTGTGCGTTGGTGACCTGGGCCCCGGCCCTCAGCAGCAGGCGCACACAGGTGGGGTGGGCTTTGATACACGCCTCGTGCAGAGCCGTCATGTTGTCCACCGTCACTGTGTTCACACCAACTCCAGAGTCCAAGAGCTGAGAGAGCTGCAGAACCCGACCCAGAGACGCCGCTTCATGAAGAGGAGTACGGTCCGCCCACATACCTGACAGAAGAGAGGGAGGAGAGGAAGAGGAGGAGAGAGGAGGAGGAGGAAGAAGATGGGGAGGAGAAGTAAGAGAGCTGCAAAACTCAACCCAGAGACACAGCTTCATGAAGAGGAGTACGCTCCACCCACACACCTGAGAGAAGAGAGGGAGAAGAGGAAGAGGAGGAGGAGGAGAGAGAAGAGGGAGAGGGGAGAGTTGAGAGCTCCAGAGCTGCAGAGCTGCAGATTCTGACCCAGAGAGGCAACTTCATGAAGAGGAATACAGCCTGCTCATATACCTAAGAGAATAGAGGGAGGAGAAGAGGAGGAGAAAGGGAGAGGAGAGACAGGGAGAGGAGAGGAGAGAGGAGAAATGAGGAGAGAGGGGAAGGGAGGGGGAGCGCTGCAGAATCTGACCCAGAAACGCTTCATGAAGAGAAGTACAGCCTGCTCACATACGTGAGCGAAGACAAGGAGGAGAGGAAGAGAGGAGGAGGAGGGGGGTGAGAGGAGAGAGGGAGGAGAAGAGGTGAGAGGAGAGAGAGAGAAGAAGGTGGTGAGAGACAGAAGAGAGAGAGAGGAGGAAAGAGGAGAGACAAGGGGGAGGAGAGAGGAGGGAGATGTGAGGAAAGAAAGAGGAGAGATGAGAGAGAAGAGGGGGGGCAGAGAGGTGAAAGAGGGGAGGAGAGGGGAGCGAGAGGAAGAGGAGAGGTGAGGGTGAGAAGGAGAGGAACAGAGGACAACCAGAGGTAGGAGGGGTAAAGCAGAGATTAGAGAGAGATGAGAGAGAGAGAAGAGAGAGAGAAGAGAAGAGAAGAGAAGAGAAAGGAAGGGAAGGGGGAAGAGGGTGAAAAGCGTCTGATCTCTGAAACTAAGGAGGTCGCTTAGACATTTAATGATCTTCATGTAAACATATTTTAGACTTGAGGACTGACTCGAGATCATAATGTTGAAATACAAATCTCGAGTTTCTCAGGAATCCCACCACGCTGGAGCCAGAGCGAGAAAACTGCAGCTAAACAAGAAAAACATGAATATGGATCATGGAGCTTGTGGTTTTACGCACGAGTTAATCCTTCGTTTCAGCTCCAGACTCACCGATGTCGCAGAGGAAAGACCTGCGCGCCGCCGTCACCTCCATGACGCCTTCACTGTCAACAGATCACAGAGAAACAGAAAGAGACAGATGAGAGGAACAGCACAGGATCATGGGCCGCGGGGGTCAGGCTACAGCATGGAGGCTACTGCAGGAAGTAAACAGTGCGGTGCATTGTGGGAGATGGAGTTCACGGGGGGAGAGTGGCGCACCACGCTGGCGCCAAAACTTATCTAAAACTTACACGACAAGGAGCAATATGGTGGGTTACATACTTATTTTGTTTTTTAAATGAATGTTCTTAGTTTATTACTTATGTATTTTATTTTATTATTTATTTTATTTGTATTGTTTTATTTATTTGTGTACGTATCGATTATATTTATTTATTATTTGTATTTTATTATTTAATTATTGTTTCAATCACAAGAGGGTGAAGGACTAGGACTGTGTTTTGTTTCATTCACGTTTAACACACAAACCCTGCAGATTTAGACTGAAAACACTCCACCTTGTGATGTCATGTGGTAATACAGGAGGTGCTCCACTATGTTTTCAACTCCATATACCTTCACTAGAATCATTTGGATCAAATCAGCCCTGGAATTGTCAGTCTCTGAAGAACTGTTAGCCTGAAAACTACCGCTACATATACTATACTAGCATTTTGAGCTTAGGAGATGAAGACAGACTGTTAAGGAATGAAACAAAGGACAAGTCCAAGTCTGTTTTTGAGGTAACAACATTAGAACATGACTTGAAGCTCACAAGAGTCACTTTTTGTGTAATATAGGACATTTAACGTAGACATTCTTGGTACTTGGCAATGACCTCTCAGTGGGAAGACTTCGAGTTACCCTCAGGAAGTTAACGCGCTTCATTTTTTCTATTTTCTGATCAAAAAGTGACTCTTGTGAGCTTTAAATCATGTTCTAATGCTGTTTCCACCTCAAAACCAGACCTGGAGTTGTGTTTTGTTTCATTCACACGTTTGCGTAACCCTTTATTAGTCTGTCTACATCTCCAAAACTCAAAATGCTCCATCAGTGAGCTAAATAATTCTGTGTGTTTTGCGGGATCATCAGAGGGAGTTGGTAATTGTAATTTCATTGTTTTCTCATTCTGTGACAGCAAAGAAATCGATGAATCAATGAATCAGACAGGTGAAAGCAGGAACCACTCAAGCGTCCACTGCAGGACAGACAGGTGACCCCATTTGGCCAAGTTCAGGTCAGATCTGTGGAGAGGAGACCCTGCTCAGAATACATGTTTCTTTCCATCTGTGATTCAATACATAAAAGTAAATTAGATAAGTTCAGATAATGCCATACTGTGGGACCTTCCAAAGTACCTACTTTATTTGCAAATGGGACAAAACACCAAGAAAGTTGATAACCCCAATTCTAACTAGTTTAAATACAAGTCCTGGTTAAGACCTGGTTTAGTTCTGATAGAGTCCTGGATCAGTCCTGGTTCAAGTCCTTATTCAGGGTTGGTTTAGTCCTGGTTCAAGTCCTGGTTCAATCCTTTTTCAGTCCTGATTTAGTCCTGGGTTAGTCCTGATTCAAGTCCTTGTTTAGTCCTGGTTTAGTCCTGGCACAGTCCTGGTTGAGTTCTTGTTCAGTCCTGCTTTAGTTCTGGTTTAGTCCTGGTTCAAGTCCTTGTTCAGTTCTGGTTTAGTCCTGGTTCAAGTCCCTGTTCAGTCCTGGTTCAAGTCCTGGTAGTGTCCTGGTTCAAGTCCTTGTTCAGCCTTTGGTCAGCCCTCGTTCAGTCCTGGTTTAGTCCTTGTTCATTCCTGGTTGAGTCCTGGTTCAAGTCCCTGTTCAGTCCTAGGTTAATCCTGGTTCAAGTCCTGGTTCAAGTCCTGGTTCAAGTCCTGGTTCAAGTCCTGGTTCAAGTCCTGGTTCAAGTCCTGGTTCAGTCCTGAATTTAACGATAAAACCACCATGATTTGCAATGTTATAACCACCAAAACAACACAACGTTTAATAAAAAAAATTATCAATAAAAACACACTCAAATACCGCCACTTTTCCATTTGTTTTAATATATTTCTTTGCAGTACAGAAATCACTGAGCCCCGATATGTTTGTACAGATTGACGTCTGTAACAATACTGCTGCATTTGGTCCTTACGCATTTTAAAAGTTACCGACCGCTCGCGTTATTCAAAAATATAAGAGCGATCCCCACCTCAGCCGGCGGACATCTTACAACATCTTACAACATCTCACAACATCTCACAACATCTCACAACATCTCACACAGGACTTTTCTGCTCGACGGCTTGGCATTGGAGAAACAGTACAACTAAGACTCCACGTACGCCATATACTCTCTTTATGACTACAATATTACAAGTAGAAATGATTTTGTCGAAAGGTGAATTACAAACAGCGCCCCCTTTAGCTGGCTTTGGCTAACTACGCAATGTGCTTTTAATAGAGGCTAGCGACGGGCTGGGAGGGAAATGAATGGAAGTCAATGGGAAATCTGACGCAAGTGCCTTGTTTATAATGTTTGCACCAGTCCCAAGCATGGATAAATAATAACAGTAACAGTACCCAAAACTCTATTGCAGTAGTAGTAGAAGTAATTGCACTGGGAAGTGAACATTTTCACGATGGTAAGAAAGAGGAACTAAGTAAAATAAAAAATACACTTAATGACTGTGAATCTGGAAGTGCTGGTTTAGACCTGGTTCAGGACCTGGTTCAGGACCTGGTTCTTGCTCTTTCTTGACCAAGGCTTAAACCAGGTTTAGATCCATTTTTGGCACGGGTTTAGACCTGGTTATAGACCCAGATCTAGACCTGATTTGAGAACTTTGTTGAGACCTGGAATAAGACCTGATTTTAGAGCCAGATTAGACCCAGTTTTAGACTTGGATCTAGATCTGATTCTAGACCTTTGGAGACCTGATTCAAAATCTATGTTTAGACCTGGTTTAAGACCTGATATTAGATCCAGTTTAGACCTGGTTTTAGGCCTGGTTTTGGACCTGATTCTAGAACTTTGACTAAGCTTTAGACCTGGTCTTAAATCTTGTTTAGACCCGATTCAGACCTGATTCTAGACCTGGTTTTGGACCTGATTTTAGACCTTTTTTGACCAAGGTTTAGATCTGGTCTTAGATCTGTTTTAGACCAGGTTTAGACCTCATTCTAGATCTGTTTGAGACCTGGATTTAGACCTGGTTCTAGACCTTTGTTTATACCTGGTTTAAAGACCTGATTTTAGATCCAGTTTAATACCTGGTGTCAAATGTTTACTTCACAGAATGTTCCTGATCTGTATTATCTGGTTTGTATTGCATTTTCACCAGTTTGTTTTATTGCTTTAACTACCGGGAAACTGAGTTTGACACAGATTACACTACACTCCGACTGTCCCATCTGAACTACTGTTATTAGAATTATAAAACGCCAACACAACTTCAAACTGTAACTTTTACCCGATTTAAATGTAAAAAGTCACATTCTAGTTCATATTTTGCCCTGTATTTATCACCTGAACAAAGCACAACAACAAAATGAAGGCATCTGAACTTCCACTTCTAATTGAACTAAACTGTAAATATTCCAACATTTACCATATATTTTGAATTCCACTTTTTTCAATAATGTAGTCCATCTTTTCCATTGACTCCCATTCAGATTGTATTCCCACGTCCCCTGCTAACGCTGAAAACATAATACTTAACGCTTGGTTTGATATTACTGAGAAAAACACTCAAAGACGACCAAGCCCCATTGCCTTTTAACACCTGAGATGGTTATAGTTTTTATTTATTTTGATTTAAATCCTTCAAAAATACTCACTCCTCAGTGGATAAAACTAGAACTATTTGGCATCTCGGGACTAGAATAATGAACCCTCCAAAAAGAAAAGCAGCGATATATTTAAAAAGCTGCACTGCGGAACATTTCTGCTCGTCTCTGTGTGGCAAAATAAAAAACAAAATAAAATAAAAACCCTGCTTTGCTTTGAATGTTACACAGTACAGCATTAAACTTCTATATCTTATGTGCAAAGCAGTAACCATGGAGACGAGTGTGAGGCAGAAACACTGTAGAAAACTTAACACAGTGCATTTTACTATTTTTATACATTTCTGCTCCTCTCTATGGAGAAAAAAAATAAAAAAATCACTGCTTTGCCTTGAATGTTCCGCAATATGGCATTAAATGTATCCATCTCCGTGGAAACAAGAGGGCGAGGCAGAGTTACGAGTCAGATATGTGGAGGGGTGAGCCCGCTTATTGAAAAAAAATGTGTGATGTCAAGGCAATAAAAATACCTATGTGCAAGATAGTTTAGTTTAATGCCTTATTGTGGAACATTCTTGGCAAAGCGATAACCATGGAGACGAGCGCGTGGCAGAAAGAGGCGCTGTGGAAAAGTTTAGTGCATCTTTTAAAGGTGCATTGTGTAACTTTTCGGGTGTAGGGCCTGTCAAATACTATTTCTGATGTTATTACTTCGTCTGGAATGTTCTGCAGTATGGCATTAAAACTTTCTATCGTCATGGAGACCAAACCAGACCAAGTTACAAGTATTTTTGAGGCATAAAAGCACCTGTAATTGAATAAATATAAGGTAGAGCTGTTTAATGTCATACTGTGGAACATTCCAGGCAGAGCAATGACGTATCCATAGAAAGTGACAGACCCTCAACTGAAAAGTTCCACAGTGCGTCTTTAGTTATTTTGTCTATTGAATCATACAGGTCCACAGTGAGTTTGGTGTTGGAGTTGCAGCAGTTGATATGATGCTAATTTGAGGGAGTGGTATTTATTTATTTATTTTTTTAATCCTGTTCTCCCACGATGTCGTTCTGTCCTCTCTCCATCTCGGCGAAGTCAAACTCGGCGCCCATCATCCGTTTGTAGATGTCTTTAATGTCGTCGCAGGTCGTCTCGAAGTGAGTCGTGGCGTCGTATGAACGCGAGAGGAAGATCTGAAAATAAAAAACAAGAGAATGTACAGGGTTTGATGTAGGTTAATGTGAACGGACACTTAATTGTGTTCAGTATTTGACCCATAGACTGCTGAAAAAATTTGAAAAAATTGTTGTTGTAGTTGTTGTTAAAAGGAGACAGTTCTAACCCACGAGTCGCTGTGCTCCAAACAGGAAGTGAGCACGGGTTCCAGTTCAATTTGTGTTGAAAAAACGTCGCCCCTCTCTGTTATTAATGTTCATACAAACATTCTAAGACCAAAATCATGAATCTGACAGACAAATCAGGCACCGTCTTTCCCTGAGGTCACTTCAAGCCCAGCTGTCCAAACATGGACGCCCATTCAAGTCAATGGGCCGAGCTCAATGGTGCATATCTCCAGATTAGCCTAACCCGGCCAGGTATTTCCTCTCTGCCCACTGAACACACGCAGCAGTGCTCTTTTCTCCCACGGGCATGTGCAAATGCACACAAGCGTGCACAAGGAGCGCGGTCTCGTGTATCACGTGATTGCTTTGACCAATCAGAGTAAGAGGAGCTGGAGCAGAGCTGGAGCGAACAATTAAAAAGATGTTTTTAAGACAACTGAAGGAGGAAAGTTTATGATCTAGAAACAGATAAAAATCAACACAAAAGCCAACCTTTTTGAAAACTGTAGGTCCCCAGGTCAGGCCCTGTCAGGCCCTGTCAGGCCCTGTCAGGCCCTGTCAGCCGAACACGAGCATGATTACATTGCGCTCTACAGGAAAAATCCTTTTTGGCATATCCTGTCTTTTAGTCCAATGAGATTCATTTGGTCTTCCGATATTCTATGTTATTAGGTTCTTTTTTTCAGACCTACATTGTTATTTCATACCTGACAGTTTCAACTGCTCACTAGCGTCTTCCTCAGAGTCACGTGACGTTGCTGTGACGTGTCTGGTCAGTTGATTTAAACAGGTTTTGGCGCCGTCTTCCTACCGGTGGAGGCAGGACGACAGCGCCACCTGCAGTCCCACTTCCTCAGGACAGCATCCCAGGTGTGTGAGAGTAAAAAAGCCCCCTCACATCACAGCAACATCACGTGACCACTCTGAGGAAGACGCTAGTGAGCAGTCCAAACTGTCAGGTATGAAATAACACTCTAGGTCTGAAAAAAAGAACCTAATAACATAGAATATCCTCTCTTTTCCCTGAAGTTTCAGTGAGTGACCACTACACCAACTCAAAACAGCTCTAGGCAGCAATACACTATCCAGTTATTTTAATCAATCCACGGGTCACATTCACTAACGTTAGCAACAAGTTTGATTGACATTGTTGCTAAGTTAACTGTGCAGGTGAGAATCTTCAACACCCTCACTCCTAATTGGCTCTTTGGTTGCTATGACACTCAAACTTGGAATTCCATATGAAACTCTCCTCCAAATTTGCGCCTATAACTTCAGCCTCAATGAGCTTCATTTGACTGGAGCTGAACACTGTGGTTGACGTAACACTCACTTCTTTACACAGTCCCAGTTTGAACCCATCTCCAGATCTGGGACCAGGGCAGGACCATAGACTATATGAAAGTGGAAGTCATCATGTTTGGTTACAGTAAACTGAAGCCGAATGAGGCCAGCGGTTAGTTATAAATACAGCAATTTTAAACCAACTTCCACATTTGAAATAGCAAGAGCATATTGCAGAACTAAAGATCCAATCAGGAGTGTGTGGTAGTTGAAAATACACACCCTAACGAGGCAAAAAGCTGCAATCAAACCTTTTGCTTACACTTCCTGGAGCCATCTGTTCTTGGGCAAAGATCTTGGGGAAAAAAGGCACCAGATTGGATATTGTTGTCCACATATTGATTTACCAAGTTTAAAAAGCCCAGGATCATGTAGAGAGGGTTAATTTGAACATTTTAAGGTCAGAATGAGGAGTCTGACAGCAGCAATTACAAAGAGAAGGGCCATTTTTCAAAAGAAGTCAATTGGATTCAGATCTCTGTGTAACCAATCCTACTACCAATTTGGAATACAGCGGCTAACGGGCTTACTGTGTCCACTAAAGTAACTAAATTTTAAAAAAGGGACTAAATCAGGTCCAAACCCGTGCGTGTGTGTCTCTGTGTGTGTACCTGGCTCTCCACGCCCATGTCGGTGGGCTGGTACAGGTCACTGATGCTGGTGAAGCACTGGTCTATGGGTTTGAGCAGGTCCAGAGCCGGCCGCACTTCTTCCTCGGGGTTGTTGGTCTCCACCGTGGTGCTGGCGATGGCGATGTACTTTCCCTTTGAGGCCACGTTATGGTCAAACGAGATCATGCACACGTAGATGTCTGAAAGAAACAACAGATTAGAAGTTTCAGTTACCCACAAACATTCAAAGTACCGTATTTTGCGCAGTATTAGTCACTCTGGATTATAAGACGCACTGTCATCAAATGGTCCATTTTCTAACTTTTTTCACAAATAAACCACACCGGACTTTAAAGGAAACACAACAGTGTGATGGGTGAGTGGTTTTGTTTGTTTGTGGCGTTCTTTGTTCAGTTGTGGCGTGTAGGGAGGGTGCTGTCTGGGACGGCTGGATTGTCGGCGTGTTCACAGTGACTCAGTTGTTCAGTTGTGTCTAGAAGTGGCACATTGCACTTGCTTTTTCAGGTCATTCCTCCATTCCGTTTCTTGTCGGTGTGGAGTGATGAGTGTGTCTGCGGGTGTTTTTCACTGCGCGGTCGCTGTCTGCTCCGTGCGTGTTTGCAGCTTTGTAGTTTACTGAAGTCGTGCTGGGACACCCGAGTGGATTCGTGTATAGGACGCTCCGGATTGTGGGGCATGCGGTCGTTTTTTGATGGGGTTGGAGGCTTAAGAGCCGCCTAATAGCCCGGAAAATATGGTACATTATTTTTATCCATGTAGTCGAGTAAAATGAGTTTGGCCCCAGTACAGATATTTTTTTTAATGTCTTTATTCTGAGATTTTCTGCAATCAGGCTTTTGACAAGATTTTTGTAATAACGTTGACCGCATTCGCATTAAATGAAGACAGCGCCCTACAGTGGGAGAAGCAGCAGCTTTCTTTGATAATTCCACTAGTAAAATATTTGTAAACTTTCAAATATGGGGAAAGTCAGACAGAGAAAAAAGTTTAGTAGTTTTCATGAGGAGATTTAGAATCGCACTGTCCAGTTCTTGGGTCAGCTGTAGTGCAAGTGAACAATTTTCAACTCCAAAACATAAAAAAAATGATTTTCACAAGTGATTAAGACAATTTTCGCATTGTGGCACAAGTTAAACTGGAAATGATTAGAGAAGATGTGACATCGTCTCCTTGTGTTGATCTCATTAGAGTGAAAAAGACGACTGTGTGCTGTCTGTGTCGCAAAACAAAAGAAGTCAAATGGTGTGGCCCGCGTGTGCTTTCTCACCGTTTCCTGTTGACCTAACTTCCTTTTCTCGCTCCTTCTGTCTCTCTCAGTTTCTCTTTCACTCTATCTTTCTCTCTCTCCCCCTATCTTTCTCTTTTTCTCGCTACCCCCTTATTTCTCTTTCTTTCTTCCTTACTCTCCCCCCTCCCTCTGGCTCTCTTTTTCTTTCCCTTTCTTTTTCTCTCTTCCTGTCTTTTTCTCTTTTTCCATCTTCTGTCCATCCTCTCCCTCCATCCATCCTTTCCCTCTCTCTTGTTTGTGTGCATGTTCTCACCGTGTTTCCTGTTGACCTGGTTCTGGGGGATGATGATCTGACAGGACCTGACGTCTCCAGTGTTGGCGATGGGGTGACTGAGGATGCAGATGACGCGGATCACCTGTCCCACCTTCTTCACTCGATCTGGGGCGTAACTGGGGTCACAGATCAGCTGCTTACACCTAGCGATCTGAACACAGGAAAACCAGGAAAAGTTAATATCTGAAAACTCAAAACAAACAAAAAACAAAACAGCAAACAACAAAAGTTGAGTCTCGAGTCACTGGCCAATAAATCCAAGTCAAGTCCAAGTCATCTGCTTTGAGCTTCAAGTCATTTCAAGTATTTAAACCAAAATACCAAATATAGCTTACATTTTTGCAATTTATATGAATTTTAAACTAAATAGTACTTAAAAAGTCATGGTATATTTATATATGAGTATTAATATAAGAGTTGCAGAAATGTAAATTTTTCTTTTTTAATTGTCTTGACCAGATCTGCAAGCACTCGGTGCCCACAGCAATTGTGAGCACAGCATGGTTCTAAAGTCCTAGTGTGAATTTTGTGATAGTTTTTATATACATAGGTATATTTATTCATATATTCATTTTTTAAATACATAGATTGTAAAATAGCTGGATATATAGTTTATTTTGGATACATGTGTGCTTTTCTATGTCTTATTTCATGTTCAAAGTATATTTAGTTCATTTTATGTTTAATTTTCAATTTAAAAGTTTTGCATAAATGATCAATAACAAAGTGTTTTTGTTGAGAGAGAGAAATGCTGAATAAATGCATCATGTAACTAAAAATAACAGTTTGAATAATTATGATTTCAATGTAGACCAAAATAATAGTGATCATGATTTTTTCCATAATCGAGCAGCCCTAGTCTGAATAAATACTTATATTCTCCCAATTTAAAAATTCACTCAATATTTTACAGTGATCATACGAGTTTGATTTTTGATCGTTTTCAGAGTCTGCTGGTGGAGTCTTTCTATATGCAGCAGTTTGCTCTTGTTTGCCTATCTCCAGCTCATCAGACAGGAGTTACAGTAGACACTTTTACTTTTATTATAAGTCTAAGTCATTATTATGATAATTCCTCACCTCTCCTTCAGACTTGACTCCCACCACTTTCCCGTTCTCCACAACGATCTCCTCGATGGGTTTGTTTAGCATGTACGTGCCTCCGTAGATGGCGCTCAATCTGAAACAACACACATATACTTTAATCTGTGCTGCACATTTACAGTAACATAAAGCAAGAGATCAGGAGTCTAACCCACAACCTCCTCACTGAGAGGAGACCGGCCAACCACTCTGCCACAGTAGTGGAGTTACCTTGCAAAGCCCTGGGGCAGCTCTCCCAGTCCATACAGGGGGTAGAGATAGGGACTTTTTCCATATCGGGCCAGAGATTCACTGTAGAGTTTGATCTTGTTTATGGCCTCGATACAGGGCTTATCCAGGTAACTGCAAACACAACAACAGCATGACGGGGATGGTAGCATATAAAACAAACAAACCACTGCTCGTCTCCATGGAGATATTAAAGATTATGTTCCACAATATGGTATTAAATGTAGACCAACTCCATGGAGACGAGTGAGGAGGACATTTGTGCGTGTTAAATGGCACTGACTCAAACTGTGTCGTTTCTGATTATGAAAAAAGTTTAAAGACATTATTATTTATAATAAAAAAAAAAAAAAAAAAAAAGTTGTGTTCACTAGAATCCTTAGTTATTATATTATATTTCATCCCTTTCCTGTCCCTTTCCTGCTGAAAGCCCTGAATGTTCATTCACACAGCTCCTCTGGTGCTCATACAAGATTCATAGTTAACTTTCATTTTAAACTGAGCTGGAGGACGAGTAAGAAGCAGCTTCAGGAACACTTTCTTCCTCAGAGCTGTTTCCTTACTGAACTTTATCCCCTGCTGAACACCCATGTTCCCTCACCATGTCACCCACTCTCCCCCTCGGCCATTAAATGTACCATGTTCAGATGACATCTGATACATCACTTTAGATTTATTTACACTTCACCAGTTCATATACATCTTTTGCTCATTTATATATGTCATACATATTGATATTGTCTATAGCACACCCTGTAAATTTGTTCATAGTATAATCTAGTAGCTTCGTATGTAAATTGTATTATTGTTTACATCAGCTTATATATGAGCCAAGGATATTATACCTAATTCCCACCTGTTCATAGTGCCATATTTATTTGTATATATTCACTACATTCTACACTGTAATATACTGTATATTGTCTATAGTGTATATGCTCCACTTGCTGCTCCTTGCACTTCTCATTAGATGCTAAACCACATTTCGTTACCTTGTATTTATACATGTGTAATGACAATAAAGTGGAATTTAATCTAATCTAATACATTTTATGGTAGAATTTGTCGTTTAACGTTTCTTAGAACAGGACGAGACAATTTCTACAAGACGAGATTGGGTCCACAAGAACGAGACAAGACGACATTTTAACTTAACTCCTTATTTCTAAATGTCATGATTCACTTTCCAATTTAGGCCTTAACATTTTTATTTAATTTCATAGTTTCATTTCCATTCTAGTGCTGCTTTTAGAAACTGTAAGAGATGTAACTCACTGACATGGAACCCCGTTTAGTACAATCCAGATGTAATATCTCTACAATCACTGGGCCTATCCACATGAAAGAAAATCTGACACAAAGTTCAGCGTCTTTACTGTCAGCACAAATAAATCAATCATTTCTATTGGTGACTTCACCTCAGAACTCATTTTATCAGCATTTTATATTAACAATATTACAATATTAATGTTGCTCCCTCCATCTGTATTAAATATTATTAGCCTGTAGAATGTTGTGATGTCATCTAAACCCAGCATCATAACTAATCCGTTGCTCTCTGACCTCTGACCCCTGCCCTCACTCACTCGTCTGTGCGGTAGAGGGCGAGCGAGTGCCCAGTGAAGTCCTGGACATCCTGGCCCAGGCTGAACTTGCTGTAGATCTCCCTCATGGTGGTCTTCTGTGGGTCCACCCCCTCCAGAGTCTTTGGGTCGTTCACGTCGAAACCAGCCACAAACGTCAGGAACTTTTTAAAACGCCGCTTCTCAAACAAACCCATGAGACCTGAGGAGGAGAGACAGGTTTAAGAACATAAGACCAGACCCATGAGACCTGAGGACCTCTTTTTTGAGGTCTCGGTCCTCTTGATTTAGTGCGGATCCGAGTGTGATTGAGGCTTTCACACCAATGAAAACAAACCCAACTAAGAGCTTTTGGAATGTTTGGTGTGCACCAACTGCTGATGGTGTGAAAGCACCATAAATGCCAAACTGCACTTTGTAGTGGCACTTCCAGTCAAACAGGAATCCCATTCATTTTAAAAAGGAAAATAAGAGAAAAGTTTTGCTGGTAAAATATTGTGCAAAGTTTTGTGATTTGTGTAAAATTGTGTAAAAAGTGTGACGGTATTAAACCTTTCTCTCTAGTGCACCTTTAAGAGTCAGCCCCATTGCAAAATAACACAACCCCAGAGACAATGGCGGTGCCCATAGAACCTTGGGAATAAAGTCCCTGTCACACCTTGATGATTTAGCCAGCACATGCCGACCTACTAGAATTTCCCTAAAATGCTGGCATACACTGAACTATCAATGTTTTTTTATTTTTTATTTTGGGAGTATTCATAACCATTTGGACGTATACCTAACGTATTAGTAACTTATATAGAAATTACAACAGTCTCAAGTTATGCATAGTGCACAGCAGCATATCACTGACGCTCATGTGTCGTCACCTATTAAAAAAAAGGCTGCCACTCGATGACTTAAATCATAACTGCACTAGACATCACAGTAGCAACATTATAATCAGCGTCACGCCAAAGAAAACTCCTTTTGGCACACAACTGGTACAGTGGGATTTCACCGCATATTCCATCCCATCATTCTGACATCTCAACCTTTAGACAACCCGATATTACAACATGCTTCTATTTAGACATGCCAGTTTTCCGCCACTTTTTGGGATCACTATTCCAACACGTCATATTTTACGTCTCTCACTGTCCTTGGTGCTGAATACAGCTGATTGATTGATAGGTCTGTAGGTATAGAGCGGCGGGATATGTCTGCAGGTCACAGGCTGTAAAGTTGTGAGCACAATCACGTCAGCCATTTCCTTTCTACAGTAAAACCAGTCGCTTTTCAAAAGATCAAAGCTCTGCACTTCTAGTTTAGATACAAGACAAAACTGAAAACAGATAGATGGTTTTTAAAGCATTAAAAGATTGAAGATGAAGTCCATAGGAAGTAGAGTCACTATCACTAATCTGCAGCTTCACACGCACTACGTTGGTTATTTATTTAGGCTGTATGGTGTTCACATGATGCTCTTCTTGAAAATGCAAATGACTGTTTCCCACACCTTTATACGGTAGCTATAAGTTAGAAACATATTCAGCAAGTTCTGTGGTCGTCTGGAACATGCCAAATACGCATATGTCAATATGTGTTGGAGGTAAGTTCAATATAAGTTACACACAGGTTCAAAGCTCGTTACTCAAAAGTTCTGGGTACGTGAGACATTATCTCAACGTATTTGGACTTACGAGTAATTTACAATTAACATGTGTGAACGTGTGTCAACGATCACATAACTTACCTACAACTTACGGCCTACATGTGCAGAACGTATAAGCACACACTGAGAAATTTTAAGCATGCTGAAAATGTTTTGATGACCTTGCCATATGTCGACTTATGCCAGTGTGCTTCAGCATGCTCAGAACTTATAAAAAAAAACCTTACCTATAACTTACCCAACGTATGCCAGTGTATTTGCCAAATTTTTCATACGTCGGCACACGCTGGCTAAATGGTCAAGGTGTGACAGGGTCATAAGGTGAATAATGTAATGGAAACAGAAGCAGGCCGATAAGAGCAGAGTAGGACTGGTGTAAACGGGCTCATAGATCACACATTACAGACACAGCTCTGGTTTATGTTATGTTAGAGAGTTTTCTTGCCTGATGCCAGAGCCTCTGCTTCAGTGGACGGGACTTTGTAGATTTTTCCTCCTTTAAACACAAAACTCCCCTCAACCACTTTAAAGTCCAGGTACCGAGTGACCTGCGTGATGAGCAGCATCCTCACCAGCTGACCTGAAAACAAAACACAAACAGACTTTTAGCCCAAGCTTAAAGGGGATTTGGTGTTAAACTGCTTATGACAAGTATTCTAGTTTTCTCATTCCTACTTAATTTGGTGGGATAATACCTCGGTAAATATAAATTACAGTTTTACACAAATCAAGAAGCAATTTGTGAAGAAAAGTTGAAAAATATGATGAAAATGATAAGAAACGGAGTCCTAAAACATAACATAACTCTTTAGACACAATTTACACAAAATAAACACATTTTTCTGATACTTTAAACAGTAATTCAACAAAATAAAGGTGTTTTCTGATATTTCTATTTGTCAAATAATAATTTCTGTATACATTAGATGAGTTTTGGCCCAGGATAAAATATGACAACAGTTATGGAACTCCCTTCACTGCAAATTTCTCTGATCTGACCAAGATTTTAAAACTTATATCAAGTTATTCATCTTGTTTTCAGATTTATTCTATATCTACTTAATAGTTCTGAGGCTGCTTAATTCTAGTCTAGGAGGTAGTTTATTTTAAGAGAACTTGTCAAGTAAAATTATCTTCCTGCACGAACAGATCATTTCACTACTTTTAAGTCATTTTCTTTGCATCTTAAATTCTGGACAAGCTTTTGTTTTTGCAGTTTTGTTGTGTTTTTCAAACAGGAAGAAAAAGAAGAAGCTTTTTTTTTAAATTCTGAACTGAAACCCAACAAAATCTAACTGCATTTTTTTCTCATCCCAAATTGTTTATTCCTACAGACACAAAACATGGACAAATTGAACAGTAAATAATGAAACAGACTCAGCACAAACCGTTTGCCATGAGGAACTTTGGCACCAAATCCACGTTCCAGTCCCGGGTTTTCCCCATCGACTCCGGAGGGCTCCCGGGCAACTGGAACCTCTTATACACCTGAGGAGACCAAATGAGCAGGTTATGTCAAAGAAACTATTTTAAAGGTGCATTGTGTAACTTTTCTGGTGAAGGGTCCGTCAAATGCTTTTCTCCATGGAGATGTTATTGCTTTGTCTGGAATGTTTCACAGTATGTTGTCAAACCTTTCTATTGCCACAGAGACCAAATCAGATCTGTGGAGAGGCAACCCCGCTCACAGTCACAATGCCTGTTTTTCTAAGTATTCTAAGTAGTCCAAGTAGTCACTGGCTGCTCTACCTCAGCCCACTCTTGCAACCCTTTCGCAAATCCAAAGAGAACTGGATGAAAGTCCGAAGACAGGACTGGTGGAGCCGGATCGTCCGGATCACGTCAGAAGGGTGACACAACGAGCACGCACTGAACCACCGACATTATTTTTAAGAAAAATAAACATTTACATGATCCAGGAATAAATTAATTTGGCTTTAAAATTGGAATAAACCACCCACTTACTTCAAATAATAAATAATAATCATTTTCATTAGGAATTTTGTTTTCACATGGTCTTTTTAAAGCAGAGTTAATTTTTATTCAGAATTAAATTATTTTATTCGGAATTAAAGCTCTCATTAAATGTGACAAGGGAAGCCTGTAAAGACGTTCACCCTTGAAGCACAAGTCTAATTATGCAGTGTAACAAACCCTAGTTAGCGCTGTTGCCTCCGTAGTTATTTTAGAAATTTCAGTGTCCGCACCAAAGGCTAAATTAAGGTATAAAACAGATGTTTTATCTGTCATTATAGTGCCTGCTCTGCGCATTAGTGGCAGCATCAGTCAAAGACATCAACAGTGGCACCTATGGATCCTCATTCAGGACAATACAGACTGGTATCAGATCAGTGCCTTGCTAAAAATCAGTATCTTATCAGAACAAGTGTACCGTATTTTTCAGACAATAAATTGCACTTTTTTCATGGGTGGTTCTGCAACTTATATGTTAAAATGTTCACATTGATGCGGTGAGTCTCTAATCTTGTATGTCAGTATCTGCTGCTCCTGTTCCTCCTGTACCACTGTCACTTCACTCTACTGCTCATGTCTCCTGCAGAAAGAGCCTCTGTTCTGTCTGTATCATGTCAGTCGATCGCACCGTTACGTCTGCACCACTGAACATTTAACATTTAAACAAACTTATAAAGACGACTGAGAAGACTGAACACAAATGTCTCCATTTTCGTCCGCTTATCCGGGGCCGGGTCGCGGGGGCAGCAGCCTAAGCAGGGACTCCCAGACTTCCTTCACCCCAGACACGTCCTCCAGCTCCTCCGGGGGAACCCCGAGGCGTTCCCAGGCCAGCCAAGAGTTCTGGGTCTTCCCCGGGGCCTCCTCCCGGTGGGACGTGCCCGGAACACCTCCCGAGGGAGACGCCCAGGAGGCATCTAGAACAGATGCCCGAGCCACCTCAACTGGCTCCTCTCGACGTGGAGGAGCAGCGGCTCTACTCCGAGCTCCTCCCGTGTGACTTAGCTCCTCACCCTATCTCTAAGGGAGCGCCCAGCCACCCTGCGGAGGAAACTCATTTCAAGCGCTTGTATCCGCGATCATCCTTTCGGTCACTACCCAGAGCTCATGACCATAGGTGAGTAGGAACGAAGACTGACCGATAAATCGAGAGCTTCGCCTTTCGACTCAGCTCCCTCTTCACCACAACGGTCCGATACAGCGACCGCATCACTGCTGAAGCTGCACCGATCCGCCTGTCAATCTCACGTTCCGTCCTTCCCTCACTCGTGAACAAGACCCCGAGATACTTGAACTCCTCCACTTGAGGCAAAGACTCCCCACCCACCCGGAGAGGGCAAGCCACCTTTTTCCGGTCGAGAACCATGGCCTCAGACTTGGAAGAGCTGATCTTCATCCCAGCTGCTTCACACTCGGCTGCAAACCGCCCCAGTGCACACTGCAGGTCCTGGTTCGATGAAGCCAACAGGACAACATCATCCGCAAACAGCAGAGATGAGATCCTGTGGTCCCCAAACCGGACCCCCTCCGGCCCCTGACTGCGCCTAGAAATTCTGTCCATAAACACAATGAACAGAACCGGTGACAAAGGGCAGCCCTGGCGGAGTCCAACATGCACTGGGAACAGGTCTGACTTACTGCCGGCAATGCGAACACAGCTCCTGCTCCGGTCATACAGGGACCGGACAGCCCTTAGCAAAGGGCCCCGGACCCCATACTCCCAGAGCACCCCCCACAGGACACCACGAGAGACACGGTCTCCAAGTCCACAAAGCACATGTGGACTGGTTGGGCAAACTCCCATGAACCCTCGAGCACCCTATGGAGAGTGTAGAGCTGGTCCAGTGTTCCACGATCAGGACGAAAACCACACTGCTCTTCCTGGATCTGAGGTTTGACTATCGGCCGGATTCTCCTCTCCAGCACCCTGGCATAGACCTTACCGGGAAGGCTGAGGAGTGTGATCCCCCTATAGTTGGAGCACGCCCTCCGGTCCCCCTTCTTATACAGAGGGACCACCACCCCGGTTTGCCAGTCCAGAGGTACTGTCCCCGACCCACGCGATGTTGAAGAGGCGTGTCAGCCAAGACAGCCCCACAACATCCAGAGACTTAAGGTACTCAGGACGGATCCCATCCAACCCCGGAGCCTTGCCACCAAGGAGCTTGCCAACCACCTCAGTGACTTCAGCCTGGGTGATGGATGAGTCCGCCTCCGAGTCCCCAGCCTCGGCCTCCTCCTCGGAAGACGTGATGGTGGGATTGAGGAGATCGAGGTTGAGGTCAGCAGCTCTCCCCCCACACTGTAAACAGTGTTGGCGAAGAACTGCTTCCCCCTCCTGAGGCGCCGGACGGTTTGCCAGAATCTCTTTGAGGCCGTCCGATAGTCCTTCTCCATGGCCTCCCCGAACTCCTCCCAGCTCCGAGTTTTTGCCTCCGCAACCGCACGGGCTGCAGCACGCTTGGCCCGCCGGTACCCGTCAGCTGCCTCAGGAGTCCCCCGAGCCAGCAAGGCCCAATAGGACTCCTTCTTCAGCTTGACAGCATCCCTTACTTCCGGTGTCCACCACCGGGTTCGGGGATTGCCGCCGTGACAGGCACCAGACCTTACGCCCACAGCTCCGAGCAGCCGCATCGACAATAGAGGCCGAGAATGAAGCCCACTCGGACTCCATATCTCCAGCCTCCCCCGGAATCCGGGAGAAGTCCTCCCGGAGGTGCGAGCTGAAAGTCCCTCTGACAGAGGGCTCCGCCAGACGTTCCCAACAGACCCTCACTACACACTTGGGCCTGCCAGGTCTTTCCGGCTTCCTCCTCCGCCAGCGAACCCAACTCACAACCAGGTGGTGATCAGTTGACAGCTCAGCCCCTCTCTTCACCCGAATGTCCAAGACACGCGGCCGGAGATCAGATGACACGACTACAAAGATCATCGACCTCCGGCCTAGGGTGTCCTGGTGCCACGTGCACTTATGGACACCCTTGTGCTCGAACATGGTGTTCGTTATGGACAAACCGTGACTAGCACAGAAGTCCAATAACAAAACACCGCTCGGGTTCAGATCAGGGAGGCCGTTTCTCCCAATCACCCCTCTCCAAGTGTCACTGTCGTTGCCCACGTGGGCGTTGAAGTCCCCCAGGAGAACAACAGAGTCCCCGGTCGGTGCACTGTCTAGTACCCCTCCCAAGGACTCCAAGAAGGCCGGGTACTCGGCACTGCTGATCGGCCCGTAGGCCGACACCACAGTGAGAGACCTGTCCCCGACCTGAAGGCGCAGGGACGCGACCCTCTCGTTCACCGGGGTGAACTCCAACACCAAGCGGCTGAGCTGTGGGGCAATGAGCCCACACCAGCCCGCGGCCACTCCCCGCGGCCAACGCCAGAGAAATGGAGAGTCCAGCCCCTCTCAAGGAGTTGGGTTCCAGAGCCCAAACTGTGCGTGGAGGTGAGGCCGACTATATGTAGTCGGTAACGCTCAACCTCCCGCACAAGCTCAGGCTCCTTCCCCCCCCAGCGAGGTGACATTCCATGTCCCCAGAGCTAGTCTCCATGTCTGGAGATCCGGTCGTCGAGGCCCCCGCCTTCGACTGCCGCCCAGATCTCTCTGCAAGTCGTGAAATCTGCAGCTGAAAACAGTAATCGAGCAGCAGAAAAAAAGTTTGGAGCAAGAGAAACTTGTGACACCAGAAGGATGCACCATGAAACTTTCCTGAAGTCACTGGATGGATGGACAAAGCCTGGACCTTTAGTGACACCGAAACCATCCTGTCAGGATTCAGAAAGGCCTGAATAATTCTAAACCTTTTCCCGCAGATCTTTTGGCAGTTCTTTTGCTTTCCCCATGACTCAAAATGCAGAGATGTCAGTGAAAGGATGTGTCAGGAGCCCAGAACCTCACTGAACCTTTATATACACTCTGATTACAAGCAGACACATCACAGGTGTGTTTTAGTAACCACTCAAACTCATTTGTGTGCGTGTTATCAGGCCCAAATCTCAAGGGTATGTAAACTTTTAATCAGGGTCATTTGTGTAGTGTCTGTTGTCACTATGATTTAAAAAGAGTAAACAGCTGTTGATAATAAATGGCTTCACCCAAGCACTAACCGGGAGTGAAAGAAAAGTTTTTGTGTTATCATTCATATTCTCTGAAAAATGGCCAAGAAATCGTAAATTCTGCCAGGGTACGTAAACTTATGAGCAAACTGTATATGTTTTTCTTCTTCATTATGCATTTTTTGGCTGGTGCGACTTATACTCCAGAGCAACTTATAGTCCGGAAAATTCAGTAGTTCGCTGCAGTTCCTCACCTCCTCGAGCGGCGTGAGGGAGGCGCTCTCTCCTCCGTAGTATGAGTTTCGGTCCATGTGAAGCACCTTCTTCCCCTTCACCGACATGATGCCAGAGAGAATACACTCCTGAGGAAACAAACAACAATACAATTTAAAATATTTATCAGAACAGTTAAGGTTAAAGGTGCACTGTGTAACTTTTCCACCATCAGCCCTTCTCTATAGTGTGGAGAACATCCCAGGCAATGCAGTAACACTTTGTCTGGGATGTTCCACAGTATGGCATTAAGCAAATAATATAGCTTGTATTTATTAAATTACAGGTATTTTGATTTCTTCAAACTGCACGCATTATTTCTGTCAGTGGGTCCATTTCTCCACTGATCTAACCCGTAACTTGGCCTGGTGATGTGGCCAGCTTGCCTCCATGGAGACAGTTAAAGATGCGCTATGCAACTTTTTTGTAGGGGGTTTGTCACCTGCTTATTTCTATGGATACGTCATTTCTCTGACTGGAATGTTCCACAGTGTGACATTAAACAGCTACTTTACATTTATTCAATCACAGGTGAAAAATCCTTAGAAAAACAGACCTTCTGACTGCGAGTGAGGTCGCCTCTCCACAGATCTGACCTGTAATTTGGTCTGGTTTGGGCTGAAACATTCCAGACAAAGCAACAGCATGTCCATGGAGAAAAGCGTTTGACAGACCCTCCAGCAGAAAAGTTACACAATGCAGCTTTAAAGTTCTCTTTAATGTCCCCGTATGTGTTCTCTGCATTTGACCCATCCTTTAGTAGGGGTGTGCAAAAATACTGAAATATCTTGATGATAACTTTATTCAGTTACCATAAATAATACATTGCATCATCATACAGTAAATGATAAATTGCATTATCATACAGTAATTTACAGATACATAAAGGCAATTATTTTACACTGCTCATGACAACTATAATCTCCAAAAAAAATAAAAAATAAAATAATCAATTATTCAGAAAAGAAGTGGGGAGAAGCAATGCTTATATACCCCCACCCCCTATCGATATATCATATTGTTTAATGTGATGATACAGTATTGATATTGTGGACTGCTGTATCAATATATCGCCAAGAGTATTTTTTGGTGTATGTTAAAGCTACAGTTTTGTTGTTTGTTTAGAGGAAGGAAACTCATTTATGTGACACATTTGACATTTTCACTGTTTTGATGAGTAAAAGGTTTGTTTTATATTCACTTTGCACAAGAAGTGGGTCAACAAACGTTTAGTATCACAGCCATGATTTAGCCTTTATTTTTTATTGAACTTATCGAATCAATTTGAAATATATCGTATCAAATCAAAAGTGCACTGTATCAAGATGTGTATCATATTGTGGCCTATGTATCGAGGTATATATCGTATTGGCAACTACTTAATGATACCAGCCCTATCCTTTAGTGTCTCTGGGTCAGGATTTGTCAAAAGAATCAAAAATCAGACACTAATCTGACATTATACTCTACAATTTTACCTTTGAGAATTAAATTAAAGCAGAATAATCTAGAGCTGGCCGAGATGGAAAAAATAAGATTTTTTTTCCTATACTGACTGATCTCCATGTTTGATATGATCTTTTTCCCTCTCAAAATAAGAAAAAAAGAAAAATAAGAAATATAATACATTTTAAAAAGTTACTCCATGATGGATCTAAAGAAATTCTTGGATTTTGTTATTGAAGAAAATGATGGAACTTCAGAAACTGCAGTGTTTGAGGATTTGCTAATTATGTCCATTCAAATTTTATTTTTTCTTCGATTTTCCTTTTACAGTCCTATAAGAATATATTGTCCTATCTATAAGTTTATTTTTTTGGTGAGTACCGCCCCCGCCCTGAGTTAAGTCCTTTTTAAACATTCTGAGTTGAACAGTTGGAGAAAAAATGTGATAAAATTCCCTCAGAGCCAAAAGTCTTTAATACGATTACAGCTCATGTGACGTGTGGACTTGGAAACTGGTTTTACTGCAGCTGCATCCAACCGAGAGAACAGACTTCATATGAGCAAACGCAGACCCAAGTACAGACCGAGACAAAGAAAACCAAAAATCATGCAGTAAAAGTATTTTTTTCCCCCAATACAGATATATTGTAAAATGCAGACAGTAGAGGTCCAGTTTTGATCCCAACGATAAAGTGTTTGAGTCGTGTGTAAACCAGGAAGTAACGCTGATGTGTTCTATTAGCATGCTAGTTGTTTTAAGGATAACCGTGACACAGCTCTGCATGAGTCTGGAACAGGGCTGGGTATCATTAAGAAGTTGCCGATACAATATAGACCTCGATACACAGGCCACGATACGATACATACCTCGATACACAGGCCACGATACGATACAGACCTCGATACACAGGCCACGATACGATACAGACCTCGATACACAGGCCACGATACGATACATAGGCCACGATACGATACATAGGCCACGATACGATACATATCTCGATACAGTGCACTTTCGGTATGATACATTTCAAATTGAATTGATACGGATCAATTAAGAAAATAATGGCAAAATCATGGCTGTGATACTAAAAGTTTATTTTGAGTTATTTATTAAAAAATAAGTATATTTTTTTATATAGAGATTGTAGAACAGCTGGATATATAGTTTATTTTGGTATATTTATGTTTTTCTATGTCTTATTTCATGTTCAAAGTTTATTTTATTCATTTTATAAAATTTTATACATCACAAGTTACGCATTTTCAATTTGAAAGTTTTGCGTAACTTATTAAAGTTTTTTTTTGAGAGGGAGAAATGCTGAATAAATGCATCGTGTAACTAAAAAATAATCGTTTGAATAATCATATTGTTGACTAAAATTGTTGAATATTGACCAAAATAAAAGTGATGATTTTTTCCATAATCGAGCGAATGCCCAACCTTTTAAAATAAATACCAGAATAAAAGAACACTTAAGCACTTGGTTTGTATCTGTAATGTTTCCTAGAAGTCATTTATTTAGCGTATTTTCCGGGCTATTAGACGCTCTGGATTATGCGGCATGAAATGGTCTATTTTCTAACTTTTTTCACAAATAAACCGCACCGGACTTTAAACGAAACACAACAGTTGGATGGCTCAGTTGGAATTTGTTTGTGGTGTTCACAGTGACTCTGGGCTTTGTTCAGTTGTGGCGTGTAGGGAGGGTGCTGTCTGGGACCACTGGATTGTCGGTGTGTTCGCAGTGACTCAGTTGTTCAGTTGTGTCTAGAAGTGGCACATTGCACTCGCTTTTTCAGTTCTTTCCTCCGTTCCGTTCCTCGTCGGTGTGGAGTGATGAGTGTGGCTGTGGGTGTGTTTCGCTGTGCGGTCGCTGTCTGCTCCGTGTGTGTGTGTGTGTTCTGTGGTTGGTGCGGCTTTGTAGTTTACTGAAGTCGTGCTGGGACACCCGAGTGGATTCGTGTATAGGACGCTCCGGATTGTGGGGCGCACAATCATTTTTTGATGGGATTGGAGGCTTAAGAGCGCGTCTAATAGCCTAGAAAATATGGTAACTTTTCTACTATGATTTCAATTATGTTATATGTTCCATTGTATAAGAACATAAATCTGTACTTGCCCAAAATAAATACATAAAATTTAAAAATAAATTAAAAAAAACTTAAAAAACGTCCTCGTCTCAGCTGTATCTTCAGTTCATTCCCTTTATTTAAGTGTGTGCGATGTGTTTTTGTAAATTATAATCACCAGTTAAAGTTCGTTGGTGTTTAATTGTTGTGTAAACTTTCAGATGTGAATTTACAGATTTATATTTACATTTGCTATTATATCGGTTGATAAAATTATTTAATTGTTCTTATTGACCTTATTCGGCCCCGCCCACATTTGTCTGGAAACGCTCCTCAACAGTGTTCTCTTCATGTTCCATTCATTTCAATAAAAAAAATTTGGGAAAAGTTTCACTGCTTAAAGAGCACATGAAAGTTTTAGATTCTTCTTTGATTCTGACTTAATTTGGTGCTATAAAACCTGCTGTAAATTTAAATTATAGTTTGACACCAACTGAGAAGCAGTTTGTGAAGAAAAGATGAAAAATATGTTGAAAATTACAAGTAGTAAAGTTCTATTTTCGAGAGTCCCACACTGAGGCACAGTTTAAACTTACAAAAACATTTTTTTGATTCTTTAAACATGATTTCAACAAAATAAAAGGTGTTTTCTTATGTTCTTATTTGCCAAATAATAATCTCCGTGTACATTAGGGGAGTTTTGGCCTACTCTATAACAGGAAATAAAATCTGAAACCTAGAAAATAGCCAAACCAAGAAGGGTAATATAAAAACTTTCAGTGAAATCTTAAATATAAAGAGAAGTGCCCTGAGGTGGCACAATTTTGGGAAAACGTTACAAAGACAATGTCTAAATCAATGGGAATAACCATACCTTGCACTCAGAGGTTTCTTTTGCTAAATGACATGTCCAAACTAAATCTGACAATTAACAATCGTCTCATATTATTAGCAGGTCTTACAGCTGCCAAAAAAAAAAAAAAGGTAATATGCCGGTTAGGGATGGGCATGATTAGTCGATTAATCGATAATTGATAATTAAGAATTTCATCGATTATGTAAATTTTAATCGACAAACCGAATGCAGGTTGCTGTGTGTAGCGTGACCAAATGGGGGTCCGTACATGTAGCTCTCTGCACTCAGAAGGAGCGAGCAAACACAAACAGTCAGTCCGCCTGCAACGTACCGAAGTGCATATGCGTATTTAACGATCACTTGTACAAGAAATTCTACGCTTTCCGTTCCGGTCGGGACAAGTGTGAGTCCATGTGCAGTGTAAAGCAGCACATATGTTTCGGTGTACAGTGGGAAAAAGTTTTGTCAGGTGAGAGTCGCTCAGTGTCGATGACGAGGCCCCACCTCCCACCTCCTGGTTTTGACAAACGCAAATATGGTCACACTAACCTGTATTCTACCGAGTCATGTCTTTTAATCCGACAGAAATTGACCACATCAGCAACACAAGAGCTGTAGTTTATCTTCGCTGAGTTCATGCAGATTAGCGATGTGGTTTTAAGTTTCGTTTCTGTGAGAGTTGAACAAAACTGAATTAAACACATTATAATG